GCGTGGGAGAGATTAGCTTTGAATTGGTGTTTGAGAAATCGTGGCCTTTCGGTGACCATGCTTGCTTGGCAGGGTCCATCCTCTAAAATAGCTCTGTGGAGGTCTTGAGCAGCTCTGCCCAGCTGTGGCTGGCAGGAGCTTTGCGTTGTGCGATACATTCCTGAACCCAACTATGTGCTGGATCGATGAGGTCAAGCTAAAGTGAGAACATTTAAGAGGGAATGAAACGCTTCTGATTTTAAACTGTGGAACGTAAGACGGAACCCAAAAAGTACTACATTCAAGAGTACAAAATTTCATTATAAATATATATATAAAACGACAAGGCTGTTTCCATTCTTAGTTACTGTTATGGCGCTTTTCCACTGTGTGGTACGACTCGGCTCGGCATGGCTCAGTACGGCACGGTTTGGCTTGGCACGGTTTGCGTTTCCACTGCAGTTCAGTACCGCTTTAGAGTGGGTGGGATTATTCACATGTCGTTATAGTTGCGCCGCCTCTTCTACCACGACTCCTAAAAAAACGTTTTCATTCCATGTCGGCCCATCAAGCTCTCGCTGGATCCGCTCCTCTGCTATCAACCAGAGGAACGTCTGTTCTTCTGCAACAGACAACAAAACTTTTTGGTTGTTAAAAAAAGGTGCGCTCATTCAAAACAGTTGCATTCGATCCTTCGCTGGCTGTGCTGATTTAAATCTAGCGGTTCTTTTGTGTTTGTGTCACAAGTTCAGTGACGCAGGTAGTGACGATTCTCTCCGGCCAGTCCCTGATTAGCAGAGTTTACACGTCACGTTTTGGTAACGGTACGGTTCACTTGGAACCCCAACCGAGGTGGTACTAAAAAAAGTACCAGGTACTGTCCCCAGTGGAAAACCCCCAAAAAGTGAACCGTACCGAGCCGTACCATGCAGTGGAAAAGCGCCATTAGGAACTTTTGCATTTGTAAATAACTGTTTTAATTAGGGTTGGCTATTATTTGTAAAAAGAAAAATGTGTTTATATATGTGTGTGTGTGTGTGTGTGTGTAGATAGATGATAGACATTAGTGGTGTCAATCGATAAAAAAAAGTAACTTTTTTTCTGAAATTAATCGTGATTAATCCCACCTAACATAAAAGTTTTTAAATATACTTTTATATTGCAATAATTTCACATTCAATATTCAAATTAATGTAGAACAACAAAGAGAGTATATTTTTAATATTTGTTTAAAGTGAAGAGCAGGCAAAAGCACGCACATCGATCTCAACTGGGTGCTCGACCAAAAAACAAGTAGAAATATTTTAGACGCAAAGTCGGCAACACCAAAGCTCCAAAAGTATCAAAAAATTTATTTTTTAAAAAGACTGTCGCATAGCATATGTGACGTTTCGAGCACGCAGGCTCTTCATCAGACCAATATTTGTTTAAAGAAATTGTTTTCTGACTGAAGGCGAGTATCACCGATACCGATACTACCAATGTATCTATGATTTTTTCCCCCTAATATTTAACCATTGACTAAAGCCATTCAACATTATTGTGAGCTATCAATTTGAACATTTATTAGACTTTAAAAAATAACAACTTCTAATTGAAATGAACTTATATCAATCTTCACATAAACCCATTATAATAAATGTCATTTAACCGTGCCCTTCAGCCAGGGCCATTTTAACCATTGGGCTAGGCGGGGCTGAAGCCCCGGGGCCAGAGCAAGGAGGGGGCCCGTGATTGGCTGTGGAGTAGATTGACTGGAGCGCCGATCGCCAAAGCCACCACGCCCCGACTTATTAGCGCTGTTATTTAGTTGAGCTTTCCCGTAAATTCCATGCATTACCAGATTGAAACGTAAAGTCTGAATTTGGTTTACCAAACAAATGCATTTATTCTATATTTGACTTTTGAGCGATATGCGCACGTATCTATCAGGTGATTGCTGCCCAGAATGTCTGCATTCACCTCTCTTCACTTTGTTCTGGAGTAATCTGGAAATGATCGCGCAAAGAACAGCATTCCAATAAGTAAAAATGTCAGCAATTCTAAATGAAATAGGGGGTCAAAAACCGAAAAACTTTAAATACAAACAAAATAAAAAACATGACTTAGTAAATTCCCCAGCTATCAGGTTCATTTACTAAAGCTGATGATGGAGAGGAAGTTGCTGGAACAGCAAGTGAACCGGGCACACGGAGCAGATAAAAACAGTGTCATCATCCACACAGATTATAGGTTAGTTTGATTATTAACTGGATTTATATTGTTTTTGTGTTTGAACAAACTATATTCATTTAAGGGTTGGGAGATAATCCGGTAGAAATATATCAATCGTTGATTGAAGCGCGTTATGATGTAGTCTAAGCTTATCATTTCAACATTTTAAGTAGGTTTTAAAACAAATGGTTTATACTGTTCATGGACATTACGCTGCGGGACAGAATTAATTCTGGTAAATGCGTGCGTTAAAACGGTTTCTACCTGATACACCTGCTCGTATTAATGACTAAACTTTCACACCTTGTGCTTAAACGGTCAAATACACATAGTTATGTGTCAAAATGCCCGTCTTTGCGAGTATCCTCATAAACACAGTTATTTGTGTCTTAAATTAATGCTAATAGTTAAAGATAAAGCATGTATTAGGCTATATGAGATCCTTAGCCTATATGATGAGATCTTAAAAGGATAGTCACCCAAAAATTAAGATACTGTCATCATACTTACCCTCAAATTGTTCTAAACCTCTATGAATTTCCTTTTCCTCCTCAACATAAAAGAAGATATTTTGAAGAATGATCGTAACCAGTTTCTGGTCCCAACTGACTCCAATAGTGTTTTTTTTTTTTTTTTCATATATGGAAGTAGTGAGGGCACAGCAATTGTTTGGTTACCAATATTGTTCCAAATATATTATTTTGTGTTCAACAGCATGAAGGAATCTCATACAGGTTTAGAACATCAACAGAATTTTTGGGTGAACTATAATGCAGACTAATGCTAAATTGCTATAACATGCAAATGCTGTTACCATTTGTGTCAATAATGTAAATTAAACATCAGAAAGAAAATTACTTACTGTCCTTGACTGAATCCCTTTTGTAAAATAAGAATGAATGTATATTGAATTTATACAGTGAAGGCTCTTCAGTCTATTTGCACATTTTCTTTATACAATATATTTATTATTCAGTGCTTTAAGTTTTTCAAGTAGGCCATTTTTATGATCTTTGTTCTGTTGTAGCCTAATGTGTGACTGTTTACTTGTCTTCAGTAAGCTTATTTTTACTTAGGCTAGTATTATTTTTTGTGATATTGAAATTGGTAACAAAAATTTTATGGTATAAAAATATTTTTTAAAGCTATATATATTTATATTTAAAGCTATATATATAGGGTACAACGGGGCTAAAGGCGCTCCGGGGTAAAAGGCGCCTTTGATATTATTTTCATCTAAACCACTAGATGGCACAAAAACGTGGCGTAGCACTTTCCAAAACATCAGTTTTTCAAGATGCACCTGTATATTTGTCTGATCTTTCTTTGACGTGATCGCGCGCAGCAGTGCAAAGTTGATTCTGTGCTTACTTGATCTAATATTTTATGTTTTTTAAAATGTTGTAGATTTAAGTAGCAAATGAGAATCACTCAAATGAATGCTTATATTTTGAGACAAAGGTCTTTTTTATGATTTTCAGTTTTGTTTTAGATATAAGTATAATAACGAAAGCATATGTAAAAGTATGGCATTTTAGCCCCCTGCTGTTGGGGCTAAAGGCGCACAGTAATTAACATGATAATTAATAGACGGCTGACTTTTCCATTTGTTGACATGACATGGTTAGATTCAAATGGTAAATATCATATATTATGTTGGGTGTCCATATTAGAGATAATCACCATGTTTAGAATGAAACCACCATATTTAAAAACATGATATTAATCATATCATATAATAAAATATAATTTGCTGTTACTACTGTAAATATATATTCAATTATTATTGGATCTCCTTCAATACTCTTAGAATCTTTACTTATTAAAACAATTTTGTTTCTGTATTTTAAAATATATTTTTTTATATTAACACGTTTTAATGACAGCATATTTATTTAAAAATAAATTAATACTTTTATTTGTGATGGGGGCCCTGCAGTAAGTCATAGCCCCGGGGCCCAGTGTGGTCTTAATGCGGCCCTGCCTTGTGCCCGAAGCTCAAAGTGTCATTTGTTTGTCCGTTTTGGAGCGCGCACACATTTGAGCCTGAGGAACAGCGTCTCTTGTGCGGATTGTGCTTTCAACGTTTTATTACCAAACATGTCCCGCAATTTAGCAACAGTAAAGACGGCATCTTACAACCATAACCGACTGAGCTGATTCTGACGTTAAGTTTGGGTTTTAGGGAGGAACGAATGCGCACCGCTGTGAAGGGAAAGAAGTTGCGCAATACGAAACGCAGCTAGTTTTTAATAGCTTTACCTCATGTCTTCTTTTGTATAATCCTTAGAAGCCAAAATCGAAATAAAAAAATAAAATTAGCTTAATAAAACCGCCACAGGCCTAAAGTGTAAGCAGATGTTTGAATGTTTAGTTCTCTCTTCTATCATAATTAAACAGGGCTTTCATGTTGCGCGTGCTGAAGCTCCTCCGCGTGAGTGCGATCTCGCTTCTGAATTGCGAATAGCAAAAATGCATCATAGACAAATGTTTGAAAAACAGCTGGCGACTCTGGTGAGATAGAATTGGCAAGATAATGTATATATAGCAATAATAAATGTATGTGTGTTTTCTTAATTTCTCCAGTACCGATAGCAGAACCGTTAACGTCTTAAAGCTCGATACTCCGGTCTTTCATAATTTAGCCCCGGGACCGATTAAATACCAGGTTTCGGTACCCATCCCTAGTCTGCGACATGCCTAGTTAGACTCGAACTGCACGGATACACCAGCGCAAACTGCTGCTGTTCATCCAAAAGAGAGAGACTGGATAGAGCGAGGGCAGCTGAGAGCACCGAATGTGTGTATCAAACCTGAGGGTCATCTTGTTCCTCCATGCTGTACTGTGCTCCACCAGGCCCTTCGTTCACTTTTTCCCCGAGCAGGAACCCCAGTCGCGTCATCAGTGTGTTGGCGGCCTCGTCTACAGATGGAGGAGGACCCATATCCTGGCTTTCTTCCCCTGCGAGAGAATTTAAGAGAGCAAGAGAGGTAAAACCATGTTTATGAAGTAAAAACTCACCTGTAGCGGTGCGCTCCAATGCTGCTGTTGCATAACACACAGCTTTTGCAAAACAGCAGTAGACACTGGTTCCTCAACCAAGGCTGCATTTATTAGATTAAAAATTTTGATTAGATTAAAAATACTACAATTTAAAATGACCATTTTCTATAAAAATACATATTCAAATGCAATTTATTCCTCTAATGGTAAAGCTACATTTTCAGCAGTCATTACTTAAGTCTACTCCAGTGTCACATGATCCTTCAGAAATCGTTCCAATATTGTGAAATAAGAATGATTAGGCGTAATCACGTATTTGGTATTTCCTAAACTATTCATGGACAGTCAAGATTTTTAAACATTGTGTAAATCTAATCATTTTGGCATCCAGAGAAATTGCTTTCTTTGGCTTTTATGACAACATAGGGATTTTTATGATCCTTGCAATTCCACATTGTTCAATGCATACTTGGCAGTCTCAACCACATCCAGACTACCTGTGGTCTCTTTCAAATTTTAGTCTCAAACAGCTCCATTGGAATTGGCCACTGTCAAACACCCCCATCATACATGTTTAAAAACCAAAAGACACAGCAGATTATAAGGACATGTAAACCAGCCACACTGCCAAAAACACTGTTGTGAATTAGCAGTGAGACCAGCCCAAAACCCCAAAATACCTCAACTGTAAAACACTGTCACACTAAACCACCTCACAAACCCTATCAGTAGGGTGTCGTAGTGTTTCACAGATGAAGCGTCTGAGCCTGTACGCTCATATACACAGTCAAAGGCTGATCGCTAGACTTCAAAAGAACAGGTGTCTAAATCCACAGTGAGAAGAGCTTTTTCAGGATTACTTTTTTCCCCATGCTTTTCACCGCTCACCATCAGAACAGAGCCGAAGAGAACGGAGCCTTTCCCAGAAATACCAGGCGAGCTGCTACACCTCTAAGGCACAGACTCATCTTACTGTCAAACCTGTCCTCAGAGACTTCTCTCAGATAAACCAAAGCCTCAGGCAGCAGCTACAGTTAGATTTTATAAGTTGCCCTAAAAAGTAACTTTACAAACAGTCTGAAAGAAACAAAAAAAATCTTGGTATAACAGACATCTGATGAGTCCTGAACAACAAAGATCAACACAATAGATGCTACAGCTAATATGCTAATTCTGTCAAAGCATGTCAATGGCTGTGTATGTCTCAAAACCTTAAATGAGCATATATATTGGCTATTTTATAATGCTTCATACAAACAGATAATAACATGCTACAGCTAATTACACTAACTAGGCACAGCATCTCAAAGCATGTCAATTGTCATCTATGGCTTAAAAGCTCATGAGTTGAACACTTTTTTGGTAATCAAGTAATTGAAATAAAGTTGAAGCACTAAAATTACTAAGAGAAACACATGAAAAACTAACACTGAACTAAGACAAATTAAAAACAAAAACAAAACTATAGCAAATAGCAATAATTAAAAAGTATAATAAGATACAACAATAACAACAGAAAATTATACAAACGACAAAAAACTAAAATAAAAAATAATGAAAATATAAGAACGCTAATTCAAAATATTACCGTATTGGCCCAAATATAAGACTACCCTGATTATAAGACGACCCCCCTTTTTCCAGATGTACCTTTTGGAAAAAGGCTTTTTTTAAAACCAAATCTTGTTTTTTCTCAGTAAAACACATTTTGTCTTCAATTGTTTTCATATTGCATATTTTTCCTATTTTAATTTTTGTTTTGAAAGTATGGTAAAAACTGGTAAAATGTACCAACAATCACAATTAAAAAATATACACTTTTTGATATACCACTAAAAAAAAAAGAAAAACAGGTAGCCCATCTGAATTAGGACATTTAGGCTATCCATCTAATAGTAGCCTACCAAAATCTTATTAACAGTAGAAGTTCAATCTTACTGTAGTCTTCAAATCTGGGTACTGTCTTACGTTTTAAAATCCCATCAGGTTAACGTGACAGTCACGACTCATGCAGCTGTAAGGTTTTCTTTTGTTTTTACTAGCGATCTTTACAACACGCATTACATTACGTATTTCATGGCACACTCGTTTTATGCGTATTTGGCGCAACCTATTGTTGTGGGTGTATTATTGACATGTCAAAGTCTAGACCCTGAATATAAGACGACCGCGTTTTTTCAGAAGTATTTCCATGAAAAAAAAACATTGTCTTATATTCGGGTCAATACGGTAATAAAAAAATATAACGGTATATAAATAATACCAAAATAACACTGTGAACCTGGAAGCAAATGGTTTGTCTACGTTTCAATTTCTTTATTTTAAAATTATGCAATATCATTCAATATTAAAGTGCTGTATGCACAGAGCTTACAGTCAACTAAAGTGAAGCTACTGATTGTAATGCAAATGTATTATTTGTTAGATACCAAGTAGGATCATACAGGTTTTGTAAGAGTGATGCATTCAAAACCAACGCTTGCCACATTATTAGTTTCGCATTTTGCTTCTGCACATGTTGTTTATGCAGCCTCTATTTAAAGCTGCGCAAAGAACAATGCTTTTTCCAGACAATATAACCAAGCCAACAAATTGGTTTCCTGTTTTACATTTTGTGTCTCTATAATACAGGAATTGACACATGGGAATTCGTTCAGTTGAACACACCTTTTTTTTTTTTTTTTTTGCAGTCGCAACACAAAAATGTTGTCATGGAAACTACAGATTTTCTAAAGATTGTGTTGACGCATCTGTCTCTTTCATCCATCCTCCGACCAAACATTCTTCTTAAATCTTTACTCCATCGCTCCCTGGTTTCCCTGTACCTCCGGCGGGATGTATGTCACTTGTGACAGCGTATAATAAAGTTCAGAAACCCGCTAATGACACCAGCAGGAGCTGTAATAGTACAATCGTGGAAAATTCTGTTCATTACAAGCAGAAAGTCAGCAAGGTTTGTTTTTCTGCACTCTCTTTTTATTCTTTTGACAAACGGACAATGACATCCGTTTCAGAAAATGCTGTGCCTCTTCAAAAGTTCTCCGGCCCACAGATGGTAAAAAAAGAAAAAAAATACAACCATTCTGAACTGATGATTCACAAACATGCCAGCAACGGTGGTTTAAAGATAAGCCTGAGGATGCAAGCAAAAGAAAATATTCAAAAACATCCACATATTTTGTGGACCACATACATATCTTGAGGCATAACCATAAACAATCATTCACGCATACTCATGTATGAAAATCTTCCCGTTAAAAAAGCGCATCAGTGCACTTGTTTGAGTGATGATGAGCCATCTGATAATCAGACAGTCCACAGGGGGTGGGAGGAAAAAAATAGCAAAAAAGAATAAACACAAGGTGATTTATGACCAACAGTTTTGTTATGGCTGAAATCCTGAAAAAAGTCTGGAAAGAGTAAATAATATAATTAATTTTGTTTAAAAACTGTGCACAATTAATTTTTTTTACAAATGTATATTACATTCATGTGTACGCTATAGGGATGTGCATCTCATGACTCAGGCCGATACAATACGCATCTCGATGCATACCAACGATACGATACTTTAAAGTAGTGCTGGGCGGTACAGTTCTATTAGTTCTACAGCTTCAGTTTCGGAATTTTCACGCTTAGTAACACATACAGCTGTTCCCTCAACACAGTGCAACAGTGAAAAGGAACCCCTTTCAAACAGTGTCGCGTTCCGAACGTTGTTTAAGCGACATACTATTGCGGTATTTAAAAAATTAATATCATAAAAATAAACACCGGTATTCGGTATGAACCGGTATACCGCCCAGCACTACTTTAAAGATACATTATGAAGCAGCTACCGATGCGATGTGATACGATACACCCCTATTACGATGCAGTGCGATCCGATTTCGATTCGATTCAACACAATACGATTTCATAAAACAAGTTAACCAAATAAGCCAGACTTATTTCAGTTAGTCTGACTCATTGTCAAATGATTTGGTTCCATAAAGCAAATTTAACATAGGCCTAGATCAAGCTTAGTCACTGTGGCAACTTATGCTGAGAAACTAGCCTGGTCTAAAGCAGGCTAACTGTCAGGCTAAGCTCCTCTACTGACCAATAGGAACATAATGATATTACCACTGTCTGACTTATTATTATTTTTTTTTTTTACAGTTTCTAGCCATGCAGCCTTTCTCTCTGGTTGTATTACAGCTGCACCGTTTATAGTTTGCAGAACAGATAGCAGAACATTAGAACATTACAATCTAAAATCGCTCCTTAAAGCATTAAAATGACTAAATTAAAAGTTAAAACCACTTAATTAAAAATTAAAATAAATAATAAAGAAAATGACTACATTTTAACTGCTATAAGAAACACACTAACTCATTTGAGCTTAGTAATTCGTACTGTAGCCTACTACATTTGATTTACCTATTACAATAGTCCACTTACAGTTACTGCTATCATAAAAATACACTTTATATGTAGGTTTAAAATTCTACAAAAGACACATTTAATGTCCAAAAACATTGTTTTTTATCAAAATGTATATTTTACTCAGAATTATTGCGCTCTGTCTGTTTAGCGCGCATGCGTGCAGCAGCGCTCCTTGCTCTCGCGTGCCTCGCCACCGCCTGACAGCAAAATGGATATGTTTGCATGACTTTCTAACATTTACAGATGAAAAATATAGTCAGTTATGCACTGAAAAAAACAACGTCTCAAATGCATTAAACAGCACAGATATATTCGCTGTTTGTCATGGTGGATTGATTTGATCCATGATCGACGTTAAGGTCTGCTTAAGAATAAGTGTGCACAAATTAGTGAGATTGTGTGAATTTAATTTGTTATTAATGGATCGATTGATTTTTTTAGGTTATTTCAAGTCAGATTTTGGACTTTAATCCCAGTTTTTCCTCGGTCTCCGTGGTGTTGTGATTCGTCATATTCACACAGCAGCAGCG